TTTTTTTTGGAGACAGGGTTTCTGTGTAGCTTTAGAGCCTGTCTTGGAACTTGCTCTGTGGACCAGGCTGGCCTCGAACTCACGGAGATCCACCTGCCTCTGACTCCTGAATGCTGGGATTAAAGGCCTGCGCCACCACTGCCACTTCCTATGGCTTCTTATATAAACACAGTCTGCCCAGCCAGGGGAGCTGAAGGTAAGAGAACTCTCGTGTCAGAGACAGGGACCGGCAGCCCCCATTTTCAGATGAGGAAACCAAGGCAGAGAGCAGTGACTGAGATATGGGTAGTGGATGACCCCCCAAATCCTTCCTGCTGACAACCCACCAAGTGAAGTGTGGACAGGGGGACTGAGGACACAGATCCTAAGTGGGTCCGGCAAGAAGCAGGCTTACTTCCAAGGCCCCAAGGAGGGGAAATGTGGACGTGATGAACTCAGCCTCTCTCTCACCTTCACACACTGCCAAATGCAACTGGGGAAACCGCAAATATCCTTGTGGGACGGAGCTCCAGATGCCAGGGGCCAATCCTCACTCAGGAGCACCACGGCCCATCAGCCTGGCAGGACGGAGACCCCTCTTCCGGACGCTGTGCAGCCAAGCTGTTACTTCTGCAAACAACAAGCCCCGTCACCTGGGAAACAGAGACTTCCAGACACAGAAGCTGCCAGCCAGCAAACCACGTGGCATGGACTCTCCTCTCCACTTCCTTTGAAAGGTAGAAGAGACTCCCACTATGCAATATGGACCTGAACTGTCCCCCAGAGTCTTGCCATTAAGTCTGTGGCTTAATAACTGAATAAAAAACTTAAAGCAAAGGAAAGGACATGACTGCCCCTAGATATGGTGGAGGAGAGTGTATTATAGCTGTGTGGGAGGGGGAGGAGAGGGGAACCAGGTCAGCAGCTAGGAGGCCAAAGCTCCAAAAAGGGCAGGTAACCAAAATGTCTGGATAACACAGGGAAGAGCCTCTGGGGGAAGGGCAGTCCAGCCCCTGGACCCGAGAGTTCAGGGTAGAGGTAGGGTATGCCAGCCACACCCTGTAACAAGGACTGAGGAATGCTGGGAAAAAACCTGGAGGCCAGGTCGGCTTTTAAATCGGCACCACAGCTGTTTGTCCCAGGTTTGAAACTTAACATCAACCATCTGGTCTTTGGCCTTTCTGGCCCCCGCCAGGCTTCTCTATGCACAGTGGTTTTGCCAGGCCTTTCCCAAGAGCCATCTGAACTCCACACCACCCTGCTGGTGCCCACCTGAAGGCAATTGAGAGGCATCTGTGCTTCACGTTGCTCCAGAGCAGCAGCATTTACCCAGGCATCCTCTCCCTGGGCAGGGGACGCCCACCATGGAGCTGAAGAGAATAGGGGCCCCCAGCTGCTGCAGAAGGTGTAATCTGTCGATCCAAGGTGCTTCCATCGGTCTCCAGGAGGGCTGCACCGCCTACAGGCCGGGCAGGAAAGCACAAGGCAAGGGTTGTAGGGCAAGGCAGGGCACGGGGATCCAGACACCGCGTCCTGGGTCCTGGGAGGGTCCTCAACTAAAACCCTGGTCCACAAGGTTCGCCCTGGAAGGGTTCTAAAAGCATGGGACACAGGTCGTAAACAACGACTGACTTTGTAGGCGACAGACATGGCTCTGGTGTTTCAGACACCACAACTCAAAGGTGGAGGGCTGGAACACGAGGGCTCGGCGCCCTCCTCCTCCAGATCCTGGTCCACTGTCCACTGACTGCTCGCCGGCCTCAGTTTCCCCGGTGGAGGGAACGGCGCACCCCGTTGCACTTACCTGAGCGCCCTGCACTGGGCAGGGAAGCAGACAGACCGAGAGCATGCAAGATGCCTGAAGATTTCGATGGATGGCACTAGCCGGACAAGAACCACACACACGCGACAGGAACTTCCCCTCTTCACGATGGACGCCGGCGGAAGTGCAGATACTGAAGTGTGCTGCAGCCTAGAGCGGCAATTCCGACCGTCGGGAACTCCAGCGCCCCTTGGAGGAGAGGAGGCCAACAAACTGCTTGGACGCAATTTGTAATAGTGGCGGGGGTTTAGAAGGAAACCTTCCCTTATTTCCTTTGTTGTTGTTGTTGTTCTGAAGCAGATCTAACCTATTCACTACTGATTCAATAGCACCTGGATCAGTGGTGCCACAAAGGAACAAATGATGAGTTACAGTCACATTTCTTCAAAACCACCACTTGGAGATGACAGTGATGGTTTGAGGCTGGAATATGAAGGTGAGAAGATGAGGAGCCCAGAGAAGTGGACAAAGAACGAATGCTTTACTAAAGGTCTTTCTAAAAATCTCAAGGTTTGGCAGATGGAGCGATTCCCTTAGCCAGAAGAGACCTGATCCGTGCGGCGGAGATGACAAGACAGATGTCTGGGAAGGGGCTCACATCTCCAAGTCCTCACACTCGCAAACTCTGCCTGGATCCTGGGTCAAATGTGGCTCTTGGCCTTAGAGCAGCCCTGCCCTTGAGTCTGAAGAAGGAACTCCACTGGAAGATTCCAGAGGCTCACTAGGTCATGAGAAAAGGAACATCCAGACTTGTCCTGTGCAACCTTGAGGGAAATGGGGGTCCTAGAGGGTGGATGGATACCATATTCCACACTTAGGAGATACTCACAGGGTTGTGGGATTGAACATTGTGGGACTCTGTGATGGGAAGGAACTGTGGGATGTTGTTGCTGGGATACACTGAGGGATGCACTCTTACAGACACACCTCACTGTCCCCCCCTCCCCTCCCAAAATGCTGTGTTAAGGAATGAGCCACCATGCCCAGCCCTAAATTTACATTTTTTGAGAATGACTCTTAAAAAACAAAAGATAGTCTGGACTGGAGATATGGCTCAGTGCGCTAAAAGCGCTTGCAGAGGATCTGGGTTCAGTTCACAGTCTTCACATGAGGTACCCCTGTGGGTATCTCTAACGACAGTTCCAGGGGATCTGATGCCCTCTTCTGGCCACTGTGAACACTGCGTGTATGTGGTACACGTGGTACTACATTCAGGCAAAACACTCATGCACGTAAAATTGTTTAATCGTTTTTTAAAGGCAAAAAAAATAGATTTAATTCTCATGATGTATCATAGGAACTCAATACTGTAACCAAAATATCATGCTAGCATTGTAATGGTTAATATGGCCAACTTGACAGGATCCAGAATCACCTAGAAGACAAACCCCTAGGCACACCTGTAAGGGACAAAGGTTAGGTTAGCCACTGGGCGTGTCTGTAAAAGAATTATCTAGATTGCATTAAATGAGATGAGAAAAGCCACCTTTACAGGACAGTGAATGGTGTGGGCAGCACCGTTCCGTGGTCTGGGGTCCGGAACTGGACAATCAGAAGAGAGCAAACTGAGCAGCAGCAATCCTCTGTATCCTAGCTCTGAGGTCAGTGTGACCAGCCACCTCAAGCTCCTGCCACTACAACCTCCCTCCCATGATGGGCTGTACACTCAGCCTGTGAGCCCGAGTAACCAACCCCCTCCCCATTTCACCGGCTTCTGTCAGGGTATTTTATAGAGCAACGAGAAAAGCAGCCATACAGCATGGCATCATATCGTTTTGTTTTGTTCCTTTTTGCATCCTGAAACTAGACCAGTACTAAAAGCTACATCCCCGCTAGGTGACTGCTTTATCGCTAAGCTCCGCCCCCACCCTCTTTTTTAACTTTTAGTTTTGAGACAGCTCTCACTAAATTAACCAGGCTGCCCTTCAGCTCACTCTGTAACACAGAGAAGTTCAACCAGGAAGGTTGTGAATTTGCAATCCTCCTGCCTCAGCCTCCTGATTAGCTGGGATTATAGGCCTGCGTCATCAGGTCCACCTGTTTTTTAACTTTTACATTTGCTTATTCATTTAGTGGGCAGGAGTATGTGCATGGGTGTGAGTGTATGCATGTGTGTGCGTGTGCAGCTGTGTATGTGTGAGTGTGCTGTGTGTGTGCACATTTGCACCTATGTGTGCACCTGTAGGAGAGTCAGTGGACAATTCGTGGGAATTGGTTTTCTCCTTCAGCTGCTTGGCTTCCAAGGACCTCAGGTTGTCAGGCTTGGCAGCAAGTGCCTTTGCCAGCTGATTTATCTCACCTGCTCCTTTTATTTACGTGTGTGTGTGTGTGTGTGTGTGTGTGTGTGGCAGAAGTGTGCAGGTAAATGCAGATGCCAGAAGAGGGTGTTGGATCCCCCAGAGTTGGAGTTAGGGGCACAAGACACGGATGCTGGGAACAAACAGGGGTCCATTGCAAGAGCCGCACCGCTTACAACCACTAAGCATTTCTCTGGGCCTTACTGCACCTTTTTTTTTTAATTAATGATATTTACATTTTTATTTTCTTTTATCTATACAAAGTCTTTGGAATGGTGGTGTGTTATGTTTACATCATATTACAGCTCTAGCTACATTCCTAGGGCTGAGTAAACCACACTTGGCTGGTGACCACCACACTTAACAGCTCAAATCTGAGGCTTTGATCAGCTCTTTGGAACCAGAAGGAAGAGGGGGCAGCAGGAAGCTGAGAGCCCATCCCTCCCACAGCCCCAACCCTTGCATGGTATCTACCGGAAGCTCCTGCCCTGAGTTCCTGTCCTGACTTCTCTCACTGAAGCTCTGCCCTGAAACTGAAGCCAAATCAACACTTTCCTCTGCCATTTGATTTTGATCAGGTCATTTTATCACAACAACAGAAACTCGAGCAGACACCAAATGCCACAGTTCCAGGTAAGCTGAGCACCTGTCTATTGAAATCAGGATATACACACAAGGAAAAGCATCTCTTAAAGCCATACCCAGAGCTGGGCAAGCAGATGTCTGTGAGTTCAAGGCTAGCCTGGTCTACAGAGTGAGGTCCAGGACAGCCAGAGCTACAGCCCAACAGGCCCAGCAGTTCACTGCCCAAACACACACAAACACACACACACAAAACACACACACACACACAAACACACACACACAAACACACACACACACACACTCTCTCTGACTTTGGCCCACTGCATATGGACAAGAGTTTCACCTTTGCCTCTGTTGTCCAAGATTGGTCTGACTCAGTGCTGGGTTCTTTCAGCCCAACAAGCCAGGTGAGCAAGGCTTATGGTGAAGGTCTTGTCTGAGTGTTGTAGTTAGAGTTTTCCTGCCTTGCCCACAGTCAGGACAAATCTCTCTCACCCGCCAGTCCCACAGCGGCTCAGACCCAACCAAGTAAACACAGAGACTTATATTGCTTACAAACTGTATGGCTGTGGCAGGCTTCTTGCTAACTGTTCTTATATCTTAAATTAATCCATTTCTATAAATCTATACCTTGCCACGTGGCTCGTGGCTTACCAGCATCTTCACATGCTGCTTGTCATGGCGGCGGCTGGCAGTGTCTCCTTCCGCCTTCTTGTTCTTTCTTTTCTCCTCTCTGTTAGTCCCGCCTATACTTCCTGTCTAGCCACTGGCCAATCAGTGTTTTATTTATTGACCAATCAGAGCAATTTGACATATAGACCATCCCACAGCAGAGTGTTGTTACACTTTGGCTCTGTTTCATCTCCATTATCACCGAGAGAAAGTTTCCCTCACATTTGGCATCACCTATAACACCTGGGAGGACATCTGGGCTAGTTCACGCTCCATCCTCAGTGTCCACAGGAAGTGAGGCACTGAGGAAGAATGACCCTTGTGGCCCAGCTTTTCTAGTGAGAGGGTGTTAACAATGCAGAAGGAGCAGGAGAAGGGAAAGGGGAGTTGCACTTTTCAGGATGTTACAGTAGGGCACAGGCCAGTCAATAGAGATGTCCCCTCCACCTTACACTGCCCTCCACCAGGCTGTTGCTGGGTGTTCTAGGAATGTGTGAGTGGACAGAAGTCTCCTAGTAGAGAAGTGGGTTTGGATACAGGAGAAGACCACCCTCAGGAGACAGCAGCCCCTGGTGCTTGTAGCTGGAGTTTTCTCCAGTTCTGCTTGGGCCCGCAGCCACTCAGACCCAATTAAACACACAGAGACTTATATTACTTATAAACTGTATGGCCATGGCAGGCTTCTTGCTATCTAGTTTTTATATCTTAAATTAACCCATTTCTATAAATCTATACCTTGCCACATGGCTCATGGCTCACCAGTATCTTTACATCTTGCTTCTCATGGCAGCAGCTGGCAGCGGCTCCTAACTTAGCCTTCTACCTCCCAGAATTCTCCTCTCTCCTTATCCCACCTATACTATACTTCTTGCCTGGCTACTGGCCAATCAGCATTTTATTTATCAATCAATCAGAGCAACACATTCACAGCATACAGAAAAACATCCCCAGCAGGTACTCTCCCCCAGCATCCGCCTGGTGCTCCCCCAACATCCGCCTGATGCTCCCCCAGCATCCACTTGGTGCTCTCCCCCAGCAGCCCCCCGGTGCTCTCCCCCAGAAGCCCCTGGTGCTCTCCCCCAGCAGCCCCTGGTGCTCCCCCCAGCATCCGCCTGATGCTCCCCCAGCAGCCCCAGTGCTCTCCCCCAGCAGCCCCAGTGCTCTCTCCCAGCAGCCCCTGGTGCTCTCCCAGCAGCCCCTGGTGCTCTCCCCCAGCAGCCCCTGGTGCTCCCCCCAGCATCCGCCTGATGCTCCCCCAGCAGCCCCAGTGCTCTCTCCCAGCAGCCCCTGGTGCTCCCCCCAGCAGCCCCTGGTGCTCTCCCCCAGCAGCCCCAGTGCTCTCCCCCAGCAGCCCCCTGGTGCTGTTCCCAGCAGCCCCCTGGTGCTCTCCCGCAGCATCCCCTGGTGCTCTCCCAGCAGCCCCTGGTGCTGTTCCCAGCAGCCCCTGGTGCTCTCCCCTACCTGGTTAGGAAGGGAAAGTTCTTATCTATGAATGGCTATGGAAAACATGCTTAGGCTAAGCATTAAAGTAACTGAAAAGGAACTCTGCTTCCGATTTCTAGTGATTGAAGATTTATTTTATATTT